TGTCGGTGCTCCATGTGATCTGTGAACTTGTATCCTTTCCTACTCATTAAGCGTCGATTTATTGCTCTTTTGATCATCGTTTGCTAATAATTCATTCATTGTTTAGGATGCGTGACATCTGTGAGAAAGAGGGTGTCAAGATCGACAGTTCCACTCTTGAAACACTTATTACGTTATGTGAAGGAGATCTTCGAAGATCAATCACTTACCTACAGTCTGTGTCTTGCCGCGAAAATGTCACAAACGATTACGTATTGAACATAACAGGATATGTCGCCGAGGATAATGTAAGTTGTTTCATTCACATTTTCACGCGTTCGGAAACGTGATTTTTTTCGGGAGTAGTTCCCTTATCCGGGCTGCGAGGGGTCACAAAAAATTTGTTGCAAATGGCGTCACCTGCGCATCAAGAGCTAGTTGGTTCAACGCGGCAGTATGCTTGAAAACATCCGATAATTAATCTCCCTTGCGCGGTTCGTATGTCTTGAACTAAAGTAGGCTGTACACCCGTTCTTTTGTTCTCCCGTTATCTTGCGTAGATTTTTTATTCTCTCGTTATTTTGCGTAGATTCTTTTGTTCCGCCGTTATTTTGCATAGATCTAATATTCACTATGTGCTGTGTTCTCTTTTTAAGGCACATAAGCTGCTCACTGCATGTCATTCATCGGACTCTGATAGGCTCTTACACGCCCTCGACGACGTGTATCGTGCAGGATATGCAGGACCTTCACTAATTAATCAGATATACGATCAGCTACTTGATGACGATAGTCTCAGCGACATTGACAAAGCTGCGATTTTTGAAAAAATGGCGGTATGTTTTTTATCTTATATGCAACATTTTGGTTGTCCCCAGTAATGGATGCATGACATGGCTTTGAATAACCGGCTGCCACAAATAGTATGAGCTGGAGTTGCGCATCGGTGAGGGCTTAGGTTTTCCGAGTTCTCGATGACTAATAATATAGATGGCGTAAGACTATCCAGTTTCGAATTTCATCTGCCAGAGTTCGTTTGCTGTTTCAGGGTAGCGACTCGTTAACGTTTACAGACTTGTTACGGACGCTAGGGTCTTACAGGGGCTTCGTTTGACGCAGCACCAGCCTATTTTCTACCAGTTATTGAAGCTGGCACACGATCACAGTTGGTGGACAACAGGCCACTGCTGCGCCAAATCCAGCTCTCACACCACCTCCTAAAATGACCCAAGCACCGAACAAGACCTACAACGGTTCCGGTGCTTTTGCGTAGTGTGTGAGAATGCGAATGTATCATCTCGGCGCAAGCTTTTAGACTGGCTGGTTGCTCTTCTCACTCACTATTCTGTTTCAATTTCCACTATGATGATTTATTTCACTATTACCCAGGATACTATTCCTGCACTAGCTCTATTCGCGCGACGTTTTTCCGCGTTGCCCTGGGAGTGCATACTGCGGCCCACGATACGTTGGATGTCGTTGATTATTGGGTGTGATATGCTTGTTCACAGGTTGGCCCATCAGGACGCGCCATAAGTTGGGCTTCCCGAGCGGATGGGGAGGTCGTAATTGGGCGGTAGAGGAGGGGGTCGTGTCTGCCTCCCGTGAGAAATGTTACTAGTTGTTGACGTTTCACGGTTATATGGGTTATACTTTTGATCCCCTTCCCCCTCCCTACCAATTCCATTGGACGGCAGTTTTGAGGGAAGGTTGGAGAATTTTCGAAAAAAAAACTGGGAATAGGAAGCTGGGAGAACTCAGGAAGATGGTAGGTGGGATGAGGATGGGGGAAGGAATCGGTCGTTCCATCAGAGGAATTCCGATGGGTATCATATTTTGCAAAATTTTCCCCCAACTGTAGAACGTGCTTTTTTCGCACTTGAGTTTATTCGGCAAATACTCGTGCTCCATATGCGCAGGAAGTATGAGTCAAAAGACAACAACTGTTTCTCACTTATTTGTCGTGGTTCTGTAGTTAATTAATTTCCGAATCAATACGTTTTCTCATTGTAGGTAGTGGAAGCTCGTCTCGTTGATGGATCTGATGAGTACATCCAACTGATGGACTTGGTGTTCTGCATTCAGTGGTATTTCACCCACTAAACTTGGGAGTCCTTGCAGTTACCGGAGCTTGTTACATTTGATCTAAAACAGCAAAGATCTCTGGACTGATCATTCCCTCTACATTTACCGGTTACGATTAATCTCGATATCGAATCCTAAAACTCTTCCCATGAATTAGAGACTGTTGAGAAGTACGAAATTCTTGGCTCAGATACCATTGCTCACTTTTTACTACATTGCCCGTTGTAATGTTTTTCTCATCTTCCACGTGATTTAACTTTCTAAGTTGAATAAAACTGTTTGTCTCTATCTCATTCACTAATGCCTTGCTGACTTTATTCCACTTGTCTCCGCGGTGCTCTTTGCACTGAAATAAGCAGCTGTCGCTTAAAGGGACGTATTTGTAAGAAACTGTGAAATGGGCAACTCAAATTCTTATCACAAGACAGTAAACAACAGTAAAGCGAAAAAAGAAAGCCGGGAAGTCATTCCCAGAGTGCCTCATGTAGAACCTCATGCTGAACCGCACTTTGTACGTGCATAAAGTGAATAGAGGGCGTGGTCTAACGCGTTAGTATCATAGCGATATCAGTTATTTCTCCTTATCATCTCACTCTCACCATATGATTTGAAAAGGAGAAAACTAAACGCAGAACTGCACCACCAGAAAGCCTTTGAAAATAAAATGGGGGGGGGGGGATGACTCCGTCGCGCTTTCCCGAAATGTTTTTGAGTTGCAAAGGTAGTACACCATCTAGGCTTACGGCCTGTCCCCTCTTCAGCCCGTCCGAGAATTTTTCCTTCGAATGCCTCGAGGATTTTATGACTTGACTGGGGGATTTCTAATGCCGTATTGGATACTCATACGAATTTGCATTGTTGTGCGCTCTGCCGGAAGGGCTAGAATAGTGTCAACCTTCCACGAGGCTCATCCCTTATACGAACTCACGCCTGAACCGCCAGCATGTAATTTTGTATACTGTGGAGAGGAACTACCCCAGTGGGTCGGCCTGATCCGGTCGAGAAATACGAACCCCAAGGATAGACGAGAACCACATCCTAAGGATAGACGAGATAAGTGCTAACAGGCCGTGAGTCCTAGATCATAACTAATGGTGGGAATAAATATACGGGAGGCGTAGAAACTACTTCCCTATCCTAGACAGAAGAATCCTAAAAGAGAATAACACACTAGAGGTCCTTGGGCCTTCCTACGCGGACTGTGGTGATGGGAGCCTGCGCGACGAAAAGTTCGCAGCGAGACCTCAACCTTTGCATTAGTGGACTTGAAAAGAGCAAGGTGCTCTTATGGAAGTCCGAGGTGCATGACCTCCTGCTGTTTCTCTAGCTCACTGAGCTCCCATGTACATTTCTCCGCATCTCTAAATCTGGATCAAGGTGATCGAGCTGCCATGAGAGTGGTGCTGTTACGTGTCTGTGGTATTGACTTTGAGTGCAGAAATTTTTTAGATACTCATTAGAGAGGGAAAAGGGAGTAGGAGAGGAAGTAGACAGCAAAGCTGAGCTTTGGCTTGAGGCAACCAACTCTGTGTTGGGTCGTAGCAGAGGAGAACAATTTGCTGCAGCGGCGCAAATAATCCCCGTCGTACGTTGCGCAATGCTGCACAACGAGCGGCATATTACTTGCGACTTTTTGCAAGCTCGTATGTTGGGGGGGGGGTGGTGGAGGGATCGACGCTGCAGGTTATACTCCATCCTCACTGAGACAATATTTGCGACTACCCATAAAAGATTTCCAGTTCATTCCAGGCGAGGAATTGATCGGTTCTCGAACTAGAAAGGTAGCTGCTTGTACCCACTGGGAATTCGTCAGAAAAAGCTAATAGTGCTTGGTGCTACTCTTCTGCCTGTCTGTCTTGGTAGAGCGCTATTAGAGTGAGAGCGCTTTCAGGTTTTGTTGAGCATCAAGGGCATGAAAGCCAGGGCACATCATTATTGGGGATTTTAGTCGAGTCCGTATGACCCCCCCCCTCCGGCCCTCTGTCCCTCCTCATCGAATCAAGCCGTCGAGCGGTGGGGGGGGGGCTCCCATCTCACATGCCACTTTTTTGGATTCCGACACAGGGCACAGCATTCGATGGGGATTTTGGTCGAGCTCGTACGACCCCCCCCCCTTTTTGGGGGGTTCGGTACGACCCCCCCCCCTTTTTTTGTTTTGGTTTTTTTCACACAAAAAACACACTTTCAGACTTCAGCTTCAAATTTTTTATTTGTAAAAACAAAAACAACTATATACATGGGAAAAAAAACTAAAAACCACTATACAAAACCACTATATACAAAAACTACTAAATCAAAAAACAACTTCAGTGAATAGGACATAACGAAAAATAAACAAGAGGATCCCACCCTCCCTACCCGTTCCGCCACCGCCAACGAAGCCCTCCCTCCCGCCCGCGCAACGAAGCCCACCCTCGCACGCCGCCTTCCCGCACCTCACAACGGAAAGGTTTTTTTGTGACATAAATTCATCAAAATAAAACAATAAATAAATTATAGCAAAGTGGTAACTGGAATTACCTGGAATTCCTTCGGTGCAACAAAGCGTAAAACTCCACTAGCACTTTGCATCTGAAGTTCTAGAGGGTGCCTCTGTTGCGCATTCGACTATATAAGTATCTTCAATTGACTGAAAACGAATATGAAAAATTCATCCTATAACGGCCATTAAATCATCAGATTTCAACGATACACGGGAACCGGACCGCAAGTCGACAAAAAATCTACCACAAAATGTACACAATATTTATTCTCAACAGGCAGTAATGTGAAACAGTGACAACAATCTGAAATGAGATACGTTCTGTGAGAGCGGTCATACCTTACGTACCATCTACATTCGATGGAATATCGGGAACCACACTTGCGGAAAAGCAAGTCTTTCCTATGAAGTACAATCATCATCTTTAATCCTAAATACTTTGCCAAAAGAGCCCTCAACAAGCAACAGAGAGATCGAACGGCCCAAAATGTAATTTAACAAAGTACTCGTAATAAATGGCATGTTGCCTAATCAAACTCGAAGAATCTCCAACGATTTGTTAAAACAAATGCAAATCCAGTTGTTGTGCGCAGGACCCCAGTGCACTTGATTTGAGGGGCAGAATTTCCGCAGAAATCGTACGGTAGCAGAGTTGGGTATGAATTGCAGCTTTGACTGGAGCAAACGGCTATTAGCCATGGAGCGAGAATTTTCAGCAAAGTGGGGTGTCTTTGAAGGACCATAACTTCCTCAAAAGCGGACCTGTGGGGAAGAGGAGACCGTATTCGTGTAGAGGAAGGTTTGCACTTCCTAAAAGTACTGAAACGTTTATGAAGGTCGCAAAAATCACAGAGAAATCTGCCATAAGGATTCGTTGGGGAGTGATTTCAACTGAACAGGTTTGAATCAATATATTTTTTTGTAACTCAACATTTCAC